TACTGCGTTTCTTTCTTTTTGGTGTCATTTTGTTTTGTTTTCATATTAATTCTGGTGTATGGCCAACAGCCTCTTCCCACAATGGAATAACAGAAGTACATGAAGGTACGGCTGTGTAGTAGGATCAGACGGATGGGCACTAGTGAGAGGTGAGGGTCTGAAAGTGGTGGGAACTAATCAGGACTACTAGCAACTCTGTGAGAAACCAAAGTAGTGCACCCAGGATGAACAAGATTTATTACACTTTCTAGAGAAAAAGTCTGAACAGAATTTCTATGTAAAGTATAATGAATGAAGTGGCAGACTCTAGATGGATTTCATGGGAAAAGACTTGAAATCCTGTAATGTTTTTGACAAAGATTTTTGTTCAAGTATAAGTGAATATTCTGCAAAGAGCTGCCAGGATAAAAAGCCCAATAGGACACTTACTAACAGGTTTTCTGTTTCATTCAGACGTATATAGATATATATACGTGCTTTTATAAAAAGCTGAGAYTCCTTTCTGTTGACATAATCCAGCAAATGCACCCCAAAACATGGTGCACACCCCAAAGCAGTGTGTCTCTGCTTTTAACAAGAGTGAGTACTTTGTACTCAGAAGCAACAGACTGTTACTCCATTCCATGGGAAGAGGTTGTTGGCCATACACCAGTATTATTATGAAAACAAAAAAGAAAGGAATGCAGTAAAGTGCAAGGTGTAGTAAAAAGCTGTGTTGGCAGTGGGAAGACACTGTAAAATTGCTGTATGCTGTGATGTGAGCTCAACAAGTCATGACATTGGGACTGYATTTTGTTGCTTTTGAACCCAGGGACATCTCATTTCCACCCTCAAAATCARTGAGTCAAACTTACTCCTCCCCACACTCTCCATATTCTCCCTATGTCTGGGTAGGTGGGAAAATTTTATTCTACGTCATTTTAGGGTGACTGCACAGACTCTTTCTGTGGTTGCTATTCTTAACTGTATAGGGTCATGAGTGTGCTCAGCTRTGGCTTTTCAGTCTTTACCCTGGACTGTCCTGAATTTGCCTCTAGATGGAGATTTGCAGGTGTTAGCATAGTAGAAAAGGTTTTTCTGTGACTGCAGGTTCTCAGCAATTAAGATCTGTTAGCAATTGATAATTGTCAATTAAAATGGTCCAAATGATTCAATTGATACAAAGTTAAAAAAAAAATCTCTAAATTCTGCATTGTTACAACCTATAAAAACAAATCGTCCAGCAAATTTCCCACATTCTTCTTTATTCCTTTCTTTTAACTTGTGACAACAAGGGAAATCTAAAGCTCTTGCAGGAGTGATTGTAGCATCCACTGACTTAAAGAAGACAGTAATCTAACAGACATCTAACAGTAAATTAGTCCCTAAAAGGAGTTACTTCATATCTGGAGGCAGCAGATTATTCTCTATTGAAAGTTGAGTAATCATTTCTACTAAACACGTGCAAGAGGGGATTCATGCCCTGATGGAAGCTGTAGCAGATAAATCTCATGATGATTCTGAGTGCCAATACTGTTCAAAAGAGGACAGCGATCTTCTGAAACTTGTTTKAGGACAAGACAAGTAGAAGCAGAGGCAAATAATCAAAGCAATCAAACMGTTCTCCCTGAACAATTGTCAAGACCACCAATACACGTCCTGTGCCATGAGTTTGCARCGGTGCACACGATATGCAAGCACCATAGCAACAAGATATTAATCATCAACACAGATGGGCCCAGGTTGGGGTAAGTCTTCAGAGGTGCAAGTCGTAGGCTGTATCTCGTGTACACAACAAGCCCCAACGGTACCAGTTTCAGCGCTACCTCAGCAGCATTGTGTAGCTGAATTCATTGTGGCTGAGYTTACACCTTCCTCTGGAGGATCCGTGTGCTGGGCCTGGTATGCAAATGCCTGGGCATGAAGAACGTTGCTTCCCGTTCTGTGTCCCTCTCTCTTTGTGGTTTTCAGTTACAGATTCTGAGCAAGTTCTTTGCTAGTGAGACACCACTGATTGAAGTGGCACTGTGCCAGAGCAGTATTTGGCACTCTGAGTGATGGCAGGGATTTTCAGAAGAGTTCAAGTGAGAAGATTAGGTGCTCAATTGCTCTTATGTTTGGTCAATAGCTTTCTCCTGGTGCATCAACATCTCTGCAATCCCACTGATGCCCAGTACAGGCATTTCCTACCTGCCAGCAACCTGAGAGAAGTAACAGACAATTTAAAGGCACAAAGCTTTCTGTTTCTGCAGTTTATTTTATTTACCTAAATTTTTCTTTGATGTAGTAAAATGCACCTGTACCAACCAGAGTACCAGGCCCAGTGTGCCAAAGAGTTAGGYCCACATTTTCAACAGTAAAGTGACTCACCACTGGAGAAAGCCCATACATTTTCTCTCTTAATGGTGTTTTTAAACAGAGCTTGGATGTCCCTTCAGTCTCCTGAATGGTGGTTTGCTGAGATTTGTGGGCTCAGAACAGCTCAGTGAAATTTAGTAGTGATACAYAGGCCAGGCTGTGAAGTCTCTTCTGCACTAAGGCAGTTGCTATCTGCAAAGGAAGTATGTGACCCTACAGAGAAACACCTGGCAACAGCTGGAAATACATGTGGCAAGGTTATAAACAGCTTTGACCATGAATGGGTCAAAGGGTTGTGTTACTGGGAATTTCTGATCCTCRCTGGAACTTGATGTTAAGATGCTGCTGGTGTCAGGGCCTCATGGGCATTGGTGGTAGGTTTCTGGAGTAGCTGGTGTTCTCTATTAGGGATTAAGAAAGCAATTACTTTTTCATAATGGTAACAAACATTTATCTAGCATAGAGATCCTCATATCCTTGTGTTTGTGTGTGAAAAAATACACCAAAGAAAGACATTCACATTTAAAGTACAAGTGATAAAGAACACATGAAGGCAAAACACAAAATATGTCAGATGCAAAAATCCCCCTGTGAAACTAGAGATGAGAATGTAGGCAAATGTAATATTGCTATCTGGACTGGAATTTAATCAAGACTTAAATATGAAGTGATGTGGTACTGCAGTGGTGGGATCAATGCCTCAACAAAACTGTACTAGATTCTGCCCGTCTTTTCATAGATTCAGGTGTGCACTGGTATAACTTGTCCAACCTCAACAGAGATCATCATGATATATACAAAGATACTCATATTCAGATTTCCCAACTCTTCCCCTCCTCTTCCCTTCAAGGTCTCTCTGCTCATGTCATGTGGAATGGCATAAGTTCAGGTGTGGATCAGAGAGACTTTGAAATGGAAAATCAGAGGATACCACAGGCCATATTGGAGAAGAGCTGGCAAAGCTTAGAACCAGGCTAAAATMGTGGTGAGGGTTAGGACTAATGTAGGCTTGTATGGGGTGCTGTGCTTGTAGTCCCAGAGAAATCTGCAAGCCAAGAATAATGAATACTGGCAGAGCTCCATGTGAGTAAGAAACTGCTTATCCTGTCTAGGCTAATGACAAAATGTTACATATTGGCATTTTTATTTTTATTTATTTTTTTTTTTAGGAAAAGAAAGATTAAAGCAACCACTATACCTAAACACTCTGCTTTGCTCTGATAAGATGCCAGAATTATAYGACTTCTACTGTGTAACAAGGTTCTTGATGTGGGTGTAGCAGCCCCTCCCCATACCTAGTGGATACACTCTCGGGAATTTTTGCAAGTRTGGGTATTGCCTCTTGTAAGGTCACTGAGTCAAGAAAGTTAATACATTGTATGAAAAAATGTCATGTTTTGTGTGTTTCCATAAGAGCACCACAAAACAGTCCTACATAAAGGTTACTATTACATAGACAGCAATGATCTCCCATGCATATTACTCTGCAAAATGTTGGGCGTCTGCCCCGCCCTCCATCAAACTCAACTGATAATTTAAAAATTAAGGACTTGATGTAAATGCAAGCCAGTCTGGTTCATGAGATTATCTCCACCACTCAACCCCTCTGTCAGGTAGAGGGCTTAGCATTACTTTGCCTTCAGTGCTCAGGGTCTACAGCTTGCTGCCATTACAATGCCCTGGTACTGTTGCATCTTTAGACATGCCTGTAGAGACTGGGCCTGGCTGGTAGATATATCTCCATTTTCCCCTCTTCTGCTTCTGCTCTACCGCTGCACTAACTTGCCTGTTCTGTGACAATACTCCCTTTCTAGCCAAACTTCCCATTACTGAGTGCCCGGTGCGTGGGTGAAGCAGCCACATGCCATCTCTAAGGGCTTGTCATCTCAAGAGGTACCAAACTTGGACTTGGGATGTTTTCTCAGGTGCAAGGCATGTTTTACCAAAGTCCTGGGACACGTAACTGTCACGAGGTCTCCAGGATTTTCTGGGCAATGCAAAGCAATGGTCTGTGGGGCTACTTCTGCAGCTGGGAAGGCAGAGGAAGATCTTCAAGAAGGGTAGACTCTGGCTGTGGGTCAGCCATGTMCCGAGCCCCGGCATGGAGGTGACACGAGGATCTGTGCTCCCTAGGACAGGAGCTTGCTGTCTTGGCCCCAGAGCGCAGGACCAAAGCAACACGGCTTGTGGACCATGAGGTGATATCCTATGCCCAATTTACTTGCTCTCTAGCCTGACCCGGCCGCACGGCTCAGCTGTCAGTGCCGCCGCCCGAGGCTGGGGCCGCCTGTACCCTGCACGGCTTTGAGACGGGCACAGCCCGGCAGCCCCGCGGAGAGTGTCGGCCGCACAGCCCGGCCGCCTCCCGCAGCCCCGCCGGGACCRGCCGGCACTCCTGCCCTCGTCCGGCCGCCGGGGGCTCCGGGTGCCCCCGAGGGCTCCGTGTGCCGCGGGCACGGGGATCGCACCCACCCTGCGCCGCCCGCGGCCAACCTGCACCGCCCGCCCGGCGCTGAGGGGCGGGGCGGGAGGCGGTGCGGCCCCGCCATTGGCAGCGGCCCGCGGCGGCCGCACGGCCATAGGCGCACGGCGCGGTCAGTGCCGGCCGGCCCCGCCCCGCCGCGGCTTTATAACGGGCATCCCCATGGCCGAGGCGGGGAACCTGCCGCGCCGCCACCGCCGCACCGGGGCACCGCCCGCCCACGGACACGCCGCCGCCCGGGACAGCCGCCTCCGGTGGCCGCAGAGCCGCGCCGCCCCGAGAGACGATGGTGCCGCGGGCCTGGCGCAGCGCCGGGGCTCGCCCGTTCCTGCTGGCGCTGCTGCTGGTGCATCTGCCGCAGGGTCGCGGCCACCGAGCCACGGGGCCCCGGGTAAGTGAGCCGCCGCCCCGGTGCGGCAGGTTGCCGTGCCCCGGCCCGCCGCCCCCGCGCCCTGTCAGCGCCGCAGGTGGAGCCCCTGGCGCCGGGCAGCTCCCCCCGGCCCCGCTCCTCCTGGGCGCGGACCCTCGCAAGGGCCTCCCCGCTCGCTTGTTAAAAGCTGGGTCTCAGCTGCGTGTGAGAAGTTCGTACACCGGTATTAACTTGTTGGCATTTATTGCAGAAAAACACGGGAGGGTGGAGGTTAGCAGGCTGTGTTTTTATATTGCTCGACTTGGATTTAATGTAGCCCCAGTTTCCAGCACATAGCTTTAGGAGTTTTCTTTTTTTTATGTTCCCTATCAGGGATTAAATGAATCCCTGCAATAAAACTAGATGCTTTCAGCCCAGGCTTCTCCCTGTAGGAGTCTAGCTCTGGTTTTTTTTTAATCTGACAGTGTTTGACTCTTACTGGGGCTGTTAATTTCACTTACCAAGCCATTACATTGCTCTCAGGGAGAACCCAACATTTTTCTAAATATGGTTCTCCCAGTGAGTGAGTGTTACCACTGCAGCACTACTACAGAGTAGTGTGAGAGTTTTCAATTATAAAGCTGCAAAACAGTAGCTGTTCTTCAGCCGATGCTGCAATGAAAGCACAYCTCTGGGTGAGTGGAAAAACTTCTCTCTCTGCAGGCATGTTGGATGCATTGGCCAGTGTGCATTCTTGACCCGGCAGTCTAAAATGCTATGGAGTGTAGGACCTAATTAACTTAGACCGTGGTTAGGCAAGACCAGGAGTCTTTGAAATCCCTACTCGACCAAAGTATAACAACAAGGGACTTTAGTACAATGTTCTTTTTTTTTTTTCTAATGGAAGTGTTTTGACCATGATGGCTATTAAATGCTTCTCAGAGCTATGGAAAGTGTACTACTGGCTGCACTGATGTMCTTGTGTACAGCTGTGCTGTGTAGCCTCTTTTATGGCCAGATGTGTAACAGCAGCTGTTCTGATCTCACTAGTTGTAAGTTAGAACTGGTGTGTGCCATAAATTACTGGAGACCTGCTTTAAAAGATCAGGAAACACAGGGGTGCTTGTGCATATATCTTTATTACCCGATATCAAGTATAAACCTCACATTGGAGTGATTCCAAATAGAGGGGAGCTTTGAGGTGAGAAGTAAGAGTCTGCCTGGATAGCTAGGGCCTTCATCAGCACCAGTATCTGACTGCTTTAATGAAGAGCAACTGAAAAAACAAAAAATACCCCAATGGTAGTGCATGGTTGTGCAATGAGCCTGTATATCAAACAGTTTTCATATATACCATTTTTATATACTGTACTTTACAAGGCAGTTTAATTGCTCCCTGTGCTGTGTTGTCTTGGAGTGAGAGCTACTTCAGGAGAGTGGAAAATGAAATACAAAGGACTACTGATGTACYTTTTGCTTGAAGTAAGTGAACTGACTTTGCTATTTCTTCTTTCACGACTGGGGGAGAGAATATCAGCTGGGAGCACTGGCATCTACAATTCTGTAGGAAGATGTGCTTAGAGTTTAGCTTAGTGTTTTAACCTGTGAGCTCTTAAATGGAAAACTGTGCATTTCCTGGATGTCTAACTCAGGAAATCTGTCTTTTTGCCCCTCGAAGTGTCATGTTTAAGAGCACGTGAAGGTGAGGAGTTTGGTTTACTTGTTTGCAACCAAGGCTGATTGATATAAACCCCTAAGCTTCATCTCTTGCAGTGATTAGACATTGCCAGTGAAGTTGTCATTAGTATAAAGGTGCCATACTTCAGATTCTAATGAAAATAAAAATACTATTAATTTCCTAAATAGTGGCTACCATGTTACACTAGCATGTATTTCTCATGTGGACTTACAATTAAGAGTGTATTTCTATCAGGAATTCTCCCTGGATGTGGGAGGGAAGGGGTGTGTCAGTGTTGCTGTTGGGTGTCTGATCTTGTAGGTGTTCAGTTGGTAGGGTACCTGCTCTTTCACACTTTCTTTTCTGAATGGTAAACACTAGAACCATTATTTGCAAACTGAAATGCTTTTAAAGGTGAACAACMGGTTTTAGTCCTACTCAGTAAATTCAAATGACCAGCAATAATGCTTGAAGTGAGTTCTAGATCTTTCTCCTTGTGTTTCCCTGTTGCTACTGTAGTCCAGCACTGTTACTGAATACATCAGCAGAAAAGAATGGCTTGCTAATGTTTGCAGAAAATGTTGAAAAACTAAGTATTGAAAAGAAATAGGTATATCTACATCTCTCTGCCAATAAAGGATGAAACATTCAGATGTAGCGAGTCCAGAATAATTATTTGAATACCAAGGTAAATTACAAGTGAAGCTAGTACCTACAGGTCTGCTGAGGAACTTCTGGCTCTCAAAAGATGTATGAAGCTTGCTGTTTCTTGTTATAGTGAAACTATGAGCAGTGATGTGAATTCTTTAGGCCTGGTGTCAGTGACTTGTAGGAAACATCTGGCTTTTGCATACACAGTGTTGCCCAATGACAGTTAATAACAACTGTCCTAAGTTAAGCCCCATAGGAAGTCGAGTATCTTGTCCTAGAAATAACTTGGAAGCCCAGGGCTGCTGTGTGACTTGTTTCTTCACTTGACAGATGCTCGTAAAGCTTCTGCTGTGTTACACAATCACCTGGTCGCTTCTACTTTTGTAGCTCAAAGGAGCATTGCAGGACTGTACTTGGAAAAGGTCTGTTTGTTGGATGCTGCCTTCTGGAAAAAGATAATCGGGTGTTATTTTTTTATTTGTATTATTTTCCTGTGTGCCTCTTTCTCTCTGTTGGCATGAGATCTGGAGGGTGTGACAAGCCAGGTCTTGCTGTTTTCCCCCTCCTTGATCCCAAAGTGATAGATGGGGAGCTTGACTGGGCTGGCTCTTGCATCTCCTACTGTGTGGTGCATTTAAGCAATATTCTTACATATCAGATTAAACAGATTGTGCCACTAAGTCTATTTTCTTCCATCTGGGCAATTAAATGTGACCTTTGTTTTCTTCTAGTTCCGAAACAGATCTGTGTAGGCTCTCTGCTTTCTGAGTATAACTCCTGACCATTATGAACTTCATCCATACATGGCAGAGAACTGTTGGTGAGAGTAGTGACAGATACTAGCACAGAGAAATGGTGGACATTTGCAGAAAGCCCAGAATATGTCTGCAGCAGTCAAAAGCTGTCCTATGAACAGGCTTAGATTTCTGGAAGATTGGGGACCTGCACCCCTCCAGTGACTTCACAGGACTAAAAGATGGGAGGGGAGGACCGGGTCATCATTAGAACTTTCATACACGGAAACATCTCATATCCTCCCTTAAAAGGCAGGCTGGTGGGGGAACCTTACAGTTCAGTGTTGTTGTAAAGGAAGATAGCAAATAGTAAAATTATCAAGCTACCAAGAGATTCCAGTGAATAAATTGGAGAGCCACAGAGCATTGGGAATTCCCTGCTGCAGCTGGCTACAAGTTGGAGCACCAGGTAAGAATCTTGATAAAAAGTACTGAAAAGGCTCCTGCAGCTTTGTTGTTCCCTCTGGAGGTGCAAGAAGCATTGCTGCTTATGCCAAGGAGTGGGACAAGGAGCGTGTTCTGCTCTGTGTTCTCAGCAGCACCACTGGAAGGGTTCCACAAACCAGGTGTCTTTATGCATGCCCCACCTAAATCAGGGAGTCTGTGTTCTTTAGGGTGGGAAGAAATTACAAAAGTGCATGTAATAAAAGTATAGAGGAGACAGCTTCATACACAGGAGATCTAGAACAAAAGAGTAAACCTTAGGATAGGTTTTCAGTGAAGGAATTTTATTTCTTGGTTTAGAGCTTGATCACCACTCTGCATTGCAAAGGTCTTCACTAATAACTAGCAACTGAAGCACTTTAATGATTTTAGATTCCTTTATCTTTGGAGAGATTCATTTATTGAAGGAACAAGTACCCAAAGGCAAGTCTTCAGAAAAGAGATAGAGTAACAAATCTATCCTATGGCAAGCAGCTTTTGGTTCCAGATACCATGTTTTGGTTGGGTGAGGGATGTTTTTTACCCAGGTGGAAGCTCTAATTGAATATAGATCTCTACTGCTTATTTTTCCTTCTCCTTGCTCATGTTTAGACCTTTAATGTTAGCTCAATTTATGTGTACTAAAGAAACTGATCTGACTTGTGTTTTTTAAATAGTATGCAACTGTGTTGAAGAACAGGATTAATTCTTGGGTAGAGAAGTATTAAAACATTATGTTCCAATTGGAACAGCAGGTCCTGTTCTTAACAGAAAAACACTGTAGGATCTGACTTGCTCTATGTTGTCTTAGAGTTGGTGTTTTAGCTGCCTGAGCTTCAGAATTGGCTACAAGAATATTTCCACTCATGTTAATGAGCTGTGCTGTTAATGAAAGATTTCTGGCCAGCAAAAGATGAGGTACAGAAAAAGAAACTGCTCACGTATTTTTTTCTGGTGGTGGCAGCAAGCTCTGTAGCTGGTGGAACACCTACAGTGATAACCTCTTGGACAAGTTTTCCAGTTTCTAGCTCTAGTCATGTGCTAAGGTAATCTTCACAGTACAGAACAGATGCTCTCTTGGCTTCTTTCATTTCCAGATGGCCCGAAGCAATTGGTAGGATGACTGTAAACTCATTTTAGTCGTATAGTAGCTCTGAAATATTAATACTGCTATTTAAATATCTTAGATGTTCTTATCCTGCCATCTCAAACTAATTGCGACATTACTATGTCAAAAAAACCCCAAACAAACAAAACCCCATTTTGTCTCTTACTTGGCTGCTGAATCCCAGTTCTTCTCGTGCTGGCACATCTGACATTGCAGTTAAGCTTTACACAATAAGCTTTATGCCAACATTGAAAGCTAAACATGGAAGCAATGCAGGTGGAACTGAAGCTGATCCCTGAAGGCTGCTGTGCTGGCTGCCATACTTAATCATCCTGTTTGAGAATATGGTGGCTCCCTCTCAGAGGCCCCCAGCAGGTCTGCCACGAGA